TACGCGGGACTTTTCGGGAGCAACAAGACGTGCAGCAGTTCGTCACCTCATGCGACACGTGCTAGCGGATGAAGAGCAGCAAGCAGAAAAAAGCAGGGTTACTTCAGCCTCTACCCGTACCGGAGCAGCCATGGCATGTCGTTAGCCTCGACTTCATCACAGGATTTCCTTCGACCTCACAAGGGCATGATACTATACTCGTGGTGATCGACAAGTTCTCCAAAATGGGGCACTTCATCCCGACCAACGCCACAGCTACAACTGAAGCGACTGCTCGCCTCTTCTTCGACCGCATCATCACCATCCACGGCATCCCCGCTACAATTATCTAAGACAGAGACCCCAAATTCACAAGTAAGTTCTGGAAGGAGCTCATGGGATTATTGGGGACCAAACTTGCAATGTCCTCACCATACTACCCACAAACTGATGGACAGACAGAGCGACTCAATCAAGTGGTTGAACAGTTACTGCGCACAGCTTGCAAGGACGACGTCAGCCATTGGGACACACAGTTATCGACCCTAGAGTTCGCTTACAACAACGCATCACGTGCGGCCACAGGGAAAACTCCTTTCTTCCTGTGTTACGGACGGGAACCACTCACACCACAGCAGCGAACCACACCGGCACACGTCCAAGCCGCACATGACTTCGTCACCACCATGCAGCAGCTATGGAAGAAGACTCAGCGACGACTCACCACGATGCAGACCTCCCAGAAGCAGTGTGCTGATCTTCAGCGACGTGATCACTCAGTAGCAGTCGGAGATCAGGTGCTTCTTGACTACGCGCAACTTGAACCTGTCTCACCTCCCATCCGGCCTCGCTTCTGTGGTCCTTTTCTCGTTGAGGCACAAGTGACACCAATTACATTCCGCTTGCGCTTACCAGATTCATGGAAGCTTCACAACGCTCTCCATGTCCAGCTACTGAAACCCTACAAGGACCCCAACCAACAGTTCCAGGGATGCCAGCTAGAGCCACCACCACGTGTTCTCATACAGGATGAACCCGAGTACGAAGTGTAGCGCGTTCTCACTCATCGACGCCGCGGCGGCAACACCCTCGAGTTCCTGATACGATGGAAGGGATACGACCCCACTGAGGACAGTTGGGTTGCAGAAGCTGATATGGGCAATGCACGCCGTGCTCTCAAGGACTGTCTTGTCAAGTAGGGTGTTTCTCATGCCACCCAGCTTTGAGGGGGGGACGTGTGAGAGTACGACGGCTTATGCCAGCTATGCTTGCTTGCCTTTACTTTATTATGCCATTTCTAGCATAGGATAATTATATGCATGCATGAATTGCTTGATTTCCTAGGCTAGGTGCTTTCCTATATTTTATTATAGTTATAGCACTGAGCTAGGTTGCGTGCACCGAATTCTGGGCTTTTCGGTTGCCACCGAATTGCCTTATACCCATTGCGACGAATGCAGCTACCTAAGATAGATGCACACTTAGTTGACGCATGGGGACGTCACGATGGGGACATGGACGGGAAAGGGTGGAGAGAGTCAAAGTCCGCTGCGGGGGAAATTCCGGATTTATACGGGAAATGTTCGCGACGACACTAGATGGGCACTACATTTTACTGGGACATGATTGGCTGCGATGGTATAACTCGCGGATTGACTGGACAACGGGTAGCTGCACTGTGCGAAGTAGCGGTAACTGGGTTGAGCTTCCTCGCTGGCAGTCGACCAAAGTCTTCAACGGTACACGTCAACGTCGTCACCATGAAACGGGTTGTCCGCTGCTGGAGCTGACGTGGACGCAGTAGACGTTTCAGTGGTAGAGGGAGAAGAGCAGCCGAGTGATTTCAAGAAACTGCTGGCAGCGGTACCCGCCCGAACTACAGGAACTGTTGAAACGATACCCCGGGATTTTTCCCGATGACTTACCGGAAGGAGTGCCACCTCAGTGAGCACATGACCACCGAATAGAATTAGAACCTGGGGCACAGCCAACTGTATAGCGCCAGTTCATACTGACACAACCCGAGCTCGACGAACTGAGGAAGCAGTTAGATTACTTATTAGAGAAGAAATTCATCCGACCGAGCTCGTCACCGTTCGCTGCACCGATACTGTTCACGCCAAAAAAAGACGGAGGGTTTGCATGTGCATCGATTACCGAGCGCTCAATAGGGTAACAGTCAAGTCGCGGTACCCCATTCCCCGCGCCGACGAACTGATCCATCAACTGCGAATAGCACGGGTTCTTTCGGAAATAGATTTACAGGGAGGTTACCATCAAATTAGGGTCGAACCATCGGACTGCGCCAAAACAGCTTTCCGGACTAGGTACGGGTCGTTCGAGTACACCGTGATGCCCTTCGGTCGTCACAGGGTTACCAGCCAAGGCGAGTGGGAACGACCCGCTCCTGGTCGTCGTCGATCGAGTGACGAAAATGGCACATTTCGCAGCCTGCAAAAAATCGATCACAGCCGAAGAAATAGCTCGACTCTTCATCTCCACCATCGTTCGACTACACACGATACCATGAGCGATCATCAGCGACTGCGACACGAAATTCACCAGCAACTTCTGCCGGAACTTGTGGCAGCAGTTCGGCACGCGACTACAGTTCAGTTCTTCGTACCACCCCGAAACCGACGGACAGACAGAACGGAAAAATCAGACTATGGAGCAACTCATCCGAGCCACGTGCGACGACCCAACCACCTGGGAACAACAGCTGCCACTCATTGAGTTCGCATACAACAACTCACCATCCGCCACGACCCAACAATCACCGTTTTACCTGAACTACGGACAAGACCCAACAGTACCCATGATCCCGAATCTCGACAACCCGGTGCCACGAGCACAACAGTTCGCCGAAATTTACAAGCAGCACGGACCCGGGCAGCTAATGCAATAAAAAAATCGAACGTCATCGCTAAACGTAACGTCGACCGCCACCGCCGACCTGTCACTTACCAACCTGACGACCTAGTTTTACTCGACACTCAGAACCTCCGCCTGCCCATCACCCCAAAACTCCGCCCCCGATATTGCGGGCCATTTCGCATAAGCCACATGATTACGCCCGTCACCGCCCACCTCCTCCTCCCCGCTGACTGGTACCGTCACCCCCCGGATATACCCCCATGGGGGGCAATAATAAAACAGGTTTTTTCAAGGGGGTGGGCTTATAATCGAGTAAATTTATAAGCGCTGGCGTTTATAAAATGACATTCATATTTTTTATATTTTTTAACAACCAAACTGAAGGTCTCGTGCTTGCCTTTCAATCGAGTCGAAGTTACATGGGGTCGTCTGTGAAATTCTCTGCGCGCGCTGGGAGACACACCCAATCTGACTCACATCCAGCTCCTGGCAGCTCCTGACAGCTCCTGCTGACTGGACCCGCATCCAGTGCAGGGTCCGAATGTGAAGGGAACCGAATCTGCAACATATCTGCCTGCTAAAGTAAAAATCATTACAACATTTTGTACACATTTCAAATTTTAAAGTTTACGTGCGCTTATAATAAAACTAGTTTTTTCAGGGGGTGCGCTTATAATCGAGGAGGGGATATAAGCGCCATATGCCAATTAGAAGCGCCAGGCGCTTATCCTAGGGTGGCGCTTATATCGGGGGATGACGGTACGTCAGCCCCTCATTCCACGTCAGTTTGCTTCGCCCCTACGTACCGTGCACAAGCCAACTGCCACGTAATCGCCCAGCCAGCATGACACGACCGCCGACAGAACCAATCATCACACCCGAGGAAATTCTGAGCCACGGAGTTCGTGACCCTCGAGGAGCCCGAAGGATCGAGTTCCTGATCCGCTGGAAAGACCGTACACCCATCGAAGACATCTGGATTCCCCTGGACAGAGTCGAAAACCACCCCGTCCTCACAGAGTATCTGCGCAGCCGAAACTTCAGGGATGTACACGCGCTTTCGTAAGGAGGACCTTCTTAGGGGGGAGGGTAGTGTAAGGAAAATTCCTTTTCCTTACTTCGCATCCCCGCTCAGCGCGTACACCACTGTAGCACCACAGTCGGCACCGTTACCACTCGCAACCCTCGCATCGACAATCCTCCCGCCACCTTCGCACGTCGCACCCCGACCTCACGGCTCGGCGGGTAACCCGCGCTCGGGCCTCCGCTTCGACATTTTTCCCAAACCTCAGTCCCAGGCCCGTCGCGCGACAACCACAGTCCATTACCGTTACCACTGTAGTTTAGCTATATATTCTTCGCTCATGCCTTCGCTCAGTGTACTATTGCTTCGATAGTGCAATTCTTGCTCGATCACTCAATTGCACTCGTAACAGTTATTCCTTTTCCGCGCAAATCTGTGTGACAACTCCGAACATACATAAATGTGAAACAGCCTCCTACCATCGCGTTCCGAACTTCCTCGCTTACCGCATTCTGCGGTCGCTAAGCCAACCAATCTTGGACTACATTCTCGTAACAGTCTGACAATGAGCGCACCTCCCGCAGACCCTAGCAATCCACAGTCGACCTCTCGTCGACGATGTGGTAACACGAGATACTGCGCCGCTCGCACTAAACGGCCGCGCAATCCAATCCTCGCCACCGATTTTGAATGCACGCCACCACTTTCTGCATTTTCGTCCCTCCGCGTGTAACCATCAGCACCGCCTCGCAGGTTACACGACCTAGTTCCTACTCGCAGCTGTAACGCGCACGCAATTAGTTCCTCTGGTTGCCGCATTCGCCGCTTCGATTTGCGCGTTCCATGCTCGCTCCCTCGCTCAGTCGCTCTCTCTTTGCGATCCCGCGTTTCACGCTCGCAACTCGATGGCCTCACCACACCACTCGCTCCCAACGCATAAATCACCTCCGTCTCTTTCCTTAGCCATCTCACAACATTCCGCTGTTTCGTCACCTCGAGCCCGTCACGCCTCGCTGCAGCTTGCGAGCTTCTCTTCGCGCTCCTCGTCATTAGTTCACTGCGATCGCCCATTCCCGTCGCTCGTTCCCGTCGCCCCGCCTCCCCGTCACCCATCGCCAGCATGGAGCACCGCGCCCGTTCCGCCCTCCGCCGCTTCGCCGCACTAACTCTCGCCGCCGGCCTCGTCGCGCTGGCCGTGCTCGTCGCGCCGACCACCGCCGGCGATGCGTATCTCCCTCCGTACTTCGGCGCGCCGAGCGGCACGGGCATTTACTTGTTCCGCCGGGAGAGGCGGAAGACGAGTCATCGTTCAAAGTCCTCATATACGACGAGCCGTCTTCGATCGGGAATGGCCAAGCTCTGTGCGCCAGCGTGCCGCAAGCTGGGAATCGGTTCGCCAAGGGTGGGGTGGTGAGGGTGCGGTGGGACACGTCGATTGGGTTTCTCGACATGACGTGCAAGCGACTCACCTTCTTCCAGACCCCGCGCTGCAGGGGGCGCCCCTACCTGGCGCTCATGCGCCCCGACAAGCGCGGCGGGCGGATGAGCGACGACGAGATGCAAGCCATGCTCACACGCAGGTGCGCCCGCTTGTCCGCTCTGAACCGCGAAACACGTACTGCCAGACAGAAGTGCACTCTCACTGTTTCCGCTCGTGCTGCTCGCAGGGTTCTCCCTCCTGCCCAAGTGCCCAAGTCGGTCAAATGCGAGTTCGGTAAGTCTCTCCGGTGGTGTCTTGAGTCATGAGCCCTCTGCGCCGCCATGTCATTGCTCCAACCCACGGAGCCCTCATTTCCTTAATCACTTTCTTTCCCCGCCCCAATCATTGCAATGGATCTGGCAACGATGTTTCCGTATCCATGCACCTGTCGCTGCCGACGCTATTCCCTTCCTCTGCATGCTAAAACGGCCATGGCTTTTTCACAGGCTGCGACGCTAAGTGCGGGAAGGTGGCGGTGTGCCTTAAGAGGAATGGCAAGCCCCAGTGCGTGTGCCCTGGCGACGGCATCTACAATGCCGCTGACAAGACATGCAAAGGTGGGCGTTGCTGAGACGTTCGTTTCCATGTTACGTGTTTCATCTTACAGCTGTTCATCTCGCCCATGTTGCATGTCACTCTGGTTCATGTCACTCTGGTTCATGTCACTCTGGTTCATGTCACTCTGGTTCAACTGGCTGTATCCCATCCATCAGCACTCTCCATCCACATTGATCATCATTCCAGCCACTTGTTTTGCTCCTCTCTTTCCTCCCCTGATGCGTTTCCACCTTCTTCCTCTGCCCTTCCTCTGCAGCAGCGGCAACAAAGGGGCTGATGGGATAGGTAGGGCAGCAGCACCATCCTCTCCTAGATTCCAGCATGTGGTGGTGGAGTGGGCCCATTTGGGTTTTGCAGTGTGGCCTTCTTAGTTTCCATGCAAGTGTTATTTGTGCCTATATTTCGCAATATCCCTGTATGATCTTCCCACGTATTGTATTATAAATCTTTCCATGCCGATTCCGTTCCCTGAACAGAATGCTCACTGAAATGACAATGCCATAACCAGAACGTCACCAACAGCCTCCTGGTAGATTTGTTTTGGAGCAGTTTGATTTATCAATGATGGTACAGGAAGGAAAAGACCCTGAATATCAGGTCAGGTTATCGAAGTTACCTAGAAACAGAACCCTAAATATTCAGGGTCAGCAGCACTAACAAAGATATTTAATCACTCTCTTTTGTATATAAGCCGAAATGTCCATGATTCATGGCAAGCAGTGGAGTCTGGGGAGGGGCTAGGTGTAAGGAATTTTCCCGAATTCCTTATCGGGGTTGACTGCTGTTGGGAACAACAAGTCTTAAGCGCCTCTGTCGTGTCGAAACTCAGGACACAAGCGAAGCAGCTCAAATCGAAGCGCAACGAGTCAACCCTCGGAGGTTAGGGTAACCGCTGGAGGTTACGAGAAGGTCAAAGGTCAGCGACCTTTGACTTGACAAATACAGCGCGACAGCAAGGACACACAACTGACTCGACATTGAGCAGTTGCCCGAGTCGCACTGTATCGATCGCAACAGCAAAACAATTTAATTATATCTATTCGTATTCCTTGTACTCTTATATAAACCTTTGTATTTGCTTGTTTTAATCAACTTACTTTGCCCTCACATACTAGCGCAAGGTGGTTCAAAGACTTTTCATTCAACGCTTCCACTATTACATCATCCTACTCAGACTTTAACTCTACAAAGATCCTAGGGCACCTCAGCCCAACATGGTATGAGAGCAAGCTAGAGTTTAAAGTTATTTTTTCTTTCAACACTCAATACAAAGAAGACATGTCTGCTACAAAGGAGAGGAGCTCCTCCAACGTCTCTCCAGGCACTACTCCTACTCCACCTCCTGTCTCTGGCCTACAGACTGAGGAAGGGACAACCACAAGACCAGCAGCTGGGTCTACGGAAACACGCGGGGCTTCGATCCAAGTGTGATGGAGAATTTTTTCTCCTTCATGTCCTTCTACGAGCAGCACCAGCAAGGAGTACCTGCGCAGTCAAACAACAGCAACAACAACAACGTGACCCACGAGTCTCGACGGCTCATCCTACGCACGCGGGATTCAACAACAACAACAACAGCCTACCTTTGCTCCGTACGAGCCCCAGCCTGGCTCCGTCAGCTTCATGCCGCAACCGCAATCTGCACCGGGACAAGAAAGAGCACTGGACGCATTACAAGTTCAATCGCAATTCACGCATGTCTTAAAGCTTCAAACGACAAAGCCTTTCGACGGAAAGATTTCTTCACATGGTCGTTCGAGTTCGAGAGATGATGGAAGGAGCACAGATTCTTGGCTTCTTCGATGGGTCCCTGCCATATCCAACAAACGGCACACAATATGAGAAGCAGCAGTACACCTATCAATCAATGATGGCGTACACACTATTGTTGAGGAACATCACCCCGACCCACAGCAGCAACATCAGGACTTACCGAGGCTATGGCAACTCCGCGGAGCTCGCGTACAACCACCTGAAGAACCTGTATCAAGCAACAGACAATGTAAATCAAAGCGGTTAATGGCGCAACTGACAACAATTGAAATGAAACCAGGCGAGAAAGGCATGGCTTATATCAGTCGCTGCCGCGAACTGCGCGACAAGCTTCTTCGATGCGGAGGGTCAATTTCAGAAGACGCCTTCGTCACGGTGGTCATCGGCGGACTCGGCCCCCACTGGCGCTCCACTCGCGCCATACTATGAGCACACGGGAGAATCTTCGAAGCAGCACTCTACGCCGAAATTCATGCCGAGCAGCAGGACATGGACCTGCAAGAAGAACGACACAAGAAGAAAACGTTAGCACCAGAATTCGCGTTTCACACTCAGCGACGATACAACAACAACAATCGACAACAGCAACAAGTGAAGACAGTACCTCCGTTCTACCACATGTGCAAGACCTCGGGTCATCCTCGTACGCACTGCCCGTCTCGTCAGCAATCGACGACACCACAGCGACAACTTCGGCCTTCAAGCTCCCAAGTCGCCTCAACGCAAGCAAATCCGACGACCTCAATCCAAGCTTCAACAACTCCAACAGGACAACCGGCACAAGGAGCAAGAAACATCGTCAATTGCATGGTAAAGATAACAGACTCTTGCACAACCGAGTCACCACCTCACTACTCACCGGAAGAAGAACTTGACAACACAGCACGCCTCGCCGCGAGTCACTCCAGCCGAACCCGACGTACGCTGCCATCGCTCAAAGTGAACCGTCCGCACAAGATACTTGGTTCTTGGACAGTTGCTGCGGACAACATATGTGCTCCTCAGGACGCTTCGTTCAACGCGAACATCGACTTCAGCGAGAAGTAGTCATCACGGTCCCCAACAACCAGAACCTGCGCACACGACGACAAGGAGTAGTACAACTTCAGTCACGAGAAACAAACGTTATACTGCACATGTCAAAGGTACTTATCGCGGAGGGATCGGCTATAACTTACTGAGTGTCAGCCAGTTGATGGCGAAAGGCATCCACTTGGAAGCCGACAGCACCACCCAGGAGTTTAAGCTGTACCACAGGAAGAGCGGTCTCTACATCGGAAAATAAGGCGGTGTTGAAGAATAACGTCTTCGTCCTTGATTTCGTCCCCGACCTGGGCACTGCAGACAGCGATGCCATTGTCAACTTCGCCGACTGGACACATCCCTTGTCAGATGATTATATTGCTGATGCATATATTTAGGCTGTAGTGGGGTAGCCCATAGGGGGTACAACCCAATTAGGGTTGGTACTTGTACTTGTTCTCATTTCATAGTGCACTCATTCCTCTCTAATCTCGACATGGTATAGAGCGGGTCCTTCCTAAGGACCAATTTTTTAGGGCCCACCCACGAAAATTTCGCTGCCCGGAGCGCGCCCTTCCCTCCCCGAAGCGCGCTCCCCCCCTAGTCCTTCTCGCCCTGCCCCTGCCTTGCTGGCGCCCCGCCGTCGAGTCGCCGCGCGCGACCCTTTTTTTTTTTCGTGCGCGCGGCCCGGGCCACGTCGCGCTGGCCTTACGGCCGCGTCGCGCCGCCCTCGCGGCCTTAGCGCCGCCCACGCGGCGGCTCCTCGCCTGCCTCTGCAGGCCCCGACGTCGCCACTGCCGGCCCCGCAGCTGCACCTGACGGCCCCGCCGTCCCCTTCGGACGGCCCCGCCGTCCCTTTCTGCCGGCCCCGCCGCTGCTTCAGACGGCCCCGCGTCCCCTCTGCCGGCCCCGCCGCTGCTTCAGACGGCCCCGCCGCTGCACCTGACGACCCCGCCGTCCTCCCCTGACGGCCCCGCCGTCCCACCTGCCGGCCCCGCCGCTGCTTCAGACGGCCCCGCCGCTGCAACCAACGGCCCCGCCGTCCCCTCTAACGGCCCCGCCACTGCACCTACCGGCCCCGCCGCTACCCCTGCCGGCCCCGCTACTGCACCTGCTGGCCCCGCTACTGCACCTGCCGGCCCCGCCGCTACCCCTACTGGCCCCGCTGCTGCACCTGCCGGCCCCGCCGCCTCATCTCCCGGCCCCGCCGCCCCAGCAGCCGAGCCGTCCCAGCGGCCGAGCCGCCCCAGCAGCCGAGCCGCCGTAGCAGCCGAGCCGCCCCTGCAGCCGAGCCGCCCCAGGAGCCGAGCCGCCCCAGCAGCCGTGCCGCCCGAGCCGCCCGAGCCGCCGAGCCGCCCGAGCCGCCCAGCAGCCAAGCCGCCGAGCCGCCCGCGCCGCCCGAGCCGCCCGAGCCGCCCGAGCCGCCTGCACTGCCCTGTCTGGTGAGCACTGAGCGTTCCTCTGTGCACTGCCCTCACCCTACTGCTGTCATGGCTACCCCCAGTGTCCTCACCTTTGACGCTGAGGGCAGAGCCATCGACTTTGACGTGTGGGTAGACGACCTACTGCTTTTCCTATAGTGCGACAGAGCTAACGGCCTCTCTCTCTTTGATCTCACTTCTAGTGCCTCTCCCGCCCTGCTGCTACTGAGGATGCCACTGTTCGCTCACAGTGGGCCACACGCGATGCTGCTGCACGTCTTGCTGTGCGTCGCCACCTCCCTCCCTCTGAGCGTGCACACTTTGGGTCGTACAAGAGTGCTCAGACCTTGTACGACGCCGTTATTGCACGCTACTCCACCCCTGCCACTGCTGCACTGAGCCGCCTCATGCTACCGTACCTCTTTCCCGACCTTGCTGCTTTTGCCACAGTCGCCGACCTCATTACCCACCTGCGCACTAGTGACGCTCGCTTCCGCGCTGCACTTCCTGCTGAGTTCTGCGCCAAGAACCCGCCCCCCCCAGTACTTCACTCTCTACTACATTGTCACCCGCCTCCCTGACTCCCTTCGCGGAGTCAGGGACGACTTACTCTCAGTCTGCCCCACCACTCTCACTGTTGAGCTCCTCGAGAAGTCCCTCCTCGCAGCAGAAGAGCAGATTCTCGCTGTAGGGGCCTCTCGTGGTGACCCGCGCACCCCCATCTTTGAGGGGTGTTCCCCCTCCCCCCTCTTGCCCTCTGTCGCCTCTGCTGCCACGGCCGA